GCAGGAAAGGTCACTGACTCAGCAGCACAGAGGACCATCAATGGAGGCAGACTTTAATCACCTTCAGCCGCTTCATCGGCTCCTGTGTGAGATGGACCGAGAGAAGCATTACCAAGGTCATAAAATCTCTCTCTGTTTCGGACGTACAGAATGAGATGAGCGACTCTCCTCGGAGCTGAAATCACGCCATCTTTGCTCTTAATTTGAGCCGTCTTTCTCAACAAATTTAAGAGGGTGATGATGAGACAATAGCTGAACAGATGGAGCACTAAGACACTTCATCAATGATAAGAAGGAACTGTACACATGGCTGGCTTGAGAGCGCCATTCTTCTGCATGAACCGAAGTTACACCGGTGGCTTGTTGCTATGGTAAATACAAAGAAACAACAGCTTGAAATACTGTATGGGATTTCTTCTCCTGGTCAGACAGCAAACACAACGGGTCTCATTTAAGAACATTTTTGAATTCTTATTTTATCCATGTCTGTTTTTGGGAGTTTTTTTTCAATGAGGATTTTTTTTGTACTCAAGGTATATTCAATCAAATGATTTCCATCCATCAGTCTGACTGTTTTTTACCCATCAAAATGTTAACAAAAACTCCATTATCTTAACTGCTGATCCAGTTTAGGATCACAGAGGGGGCCTGGAGTGTATCCCAGCTACCTTTAGGTGAGTGGTGGGGTACGTTTTGGACAAGTTGACAGTCTATTGCTGGGCTAACACAGAGAGACAGACAACTATTCACACACAGTCACACCTACAGCCAATTAATTATCAGTTAAACTAACATGCATGCCTTGGGAATGTGGGAGGAAGCCAGAGTACTGGGAGAGAGCCCAAGTAGGTCCGGGGAGAACATACAGACTTCACACAGAATTCACCTTGAAGATTTCATGAATCCCTGCCTTTTTACTAAATAGTATAAGCAAAGATTTCCAAGGAGAGAATTTCCATTCTAGCCACTTTCATTGTGGACCTCAAACTTGTAGAAGGGCAAAAGATCAGCTTGTGTTTCTAACTGGTCCCACATGCTGAGGATCATCGCTGGTGATAAGAGCTGGGTCCAAACTACGGGTTGTCATATATCATGCCATCTACAATGACGCCCATATAAATTTTTATGTTAAAAAAATATGATGCCATGTGTTCAGTTCCACAGCATGCACAAAAGCAGCCAAAAAAAACAAACCAAACTTAAGCTACCTCAACAAACCCCAACAAAATATGAAGCTGCTAAATACAATCTTCACTCGCTGTTTAGCAGATTTGCCTCCATGAGACTTCATTCTGTTACTCAAATTGAACAATCATTAATTTGACACGCCGGAGAAGCTCACAAAAGTGCAAGGGGACAGAATGGGACCTCTTCTGAGCAATCTAAAAAATAGCAGCTGTGTTCAAAACGGTCCAGATGTGAATAAGAAAACAACCTGAAGTAAACTTGAACCAAATGTAAATCAGGTATGGCTGTCTGGTGGAGTGATATAACTTTATGACTGCACTTGGTATAGGTTGCCACGTTGAAATGGATCAAGTAAACAAAATTTTTAAAAAGTCTCTCAGTAACTTCATTTTGATGAGGTTACAGCGAACAGATAAGTAACTTTTCACTAAGATTGTCTTGATTATATAGTTTAAAACAGTCTAAATGTAGTCCATTTCTGTATCTAAACTCCAAATTTATCCATTTCTAGAATTCAGGTCCAGTGAGTGCATTTTCCCTTTACAGGCTTGCCTTTACTGACATTAAAAATGTGGAACAAATAGCATCAATAGGCTACCTCAAACATTAGTTTTAATAACAACAGACATATTAAATTCAGCAAACTATATTGCTATCAGTTATAGTACTACATCAGTCAATATAACAGTGCGACATAAAGGCTGGTGAAGCTGCTATACTGTATTTAACTTGTTGTTTCTGTCACCTGACCTTACTCCCACCACATACAGCTGATAATCTAGAGTGAGATGAGAGAGGAGGAAATCCAGCCAAATGAATAGCAAAGGAGACAGAATAAGAAAACATTGTTTTCCTTGTGCATTGAAATGCTTTTTAGGCCAATGCTATATGATATTTCTGTCTCTTCTGATGATACAGGTAATGACCAGCACGGCCAGTCATACTTCAGGAAACCTTATGAACTGTAAGCAAAAGATACTGGAGAGAATTATCGCCTCCATTTGCTTCCAGGCTCCCACTGTTTTATGTAGCTCTACAGTGAGGCGAAGCTCCCTGTCCACAACTTCATTTTTGATTTACTCCCACCTCTCTTACTCCCAGACACTTTCAGCAACAGCAGACAACTATTTTCAGGTTAAAAGATTATCTAACATCATTTCTTCTGCAACAGAAAACTGATGATTAGCGACTAGCTGGCTGCACATTTAGCAGGTTAATTGCTCGATGTTTAAGCTGCTAGAGACCAAAACAGAGATAAAATAAAATGTTGCTTTGTGTCTGTTAAATGCAGTTAGGCCCAGCTTTTATTGTTTGTACTCGACTGTTTTGGTTTGGTTTGGTGTATTGGTCTTTACCTTTATTAACTAAGAAAGTACTCATTAGTATCTCTACATCTACTGTTCGGGGCCAGATACTTTTTTGTTCCACTACATTTATCAGATTATTAAAACACAAGCCAGGCTGGCGAACAATACAGCTCAGCAGAAATAAACGCCATTAATATTTGTATCTTGTCACACTGTCTCGAGTACAAGTCTGCGATCACGGGTGGACGGCTTCCTTCTGGATAGTTGGTTGGCTGGAGAGTGGAGACAGCAGAAAGAAAAATGTTCCTACAGGAAACTGCTCGCACCATGATTTGTGGATTGTTTTTTTAAATCATGATTTTTTTAAAGAAAATACAAACATTTCTATAGCACATATCTCTGATACACGTTGAAAAATGTGGATGGGAAAAACCACTGCAGGTGACAGAAAAAATATCTGTTTGATTTCGGAGTGAACAACCCCTTTAAGGTGATATTTACCCATTTATGCATCAAACCAATGACTATTTTATTTTATTCTTTAAAAAAAAGTCATTTGGGTTGTTTTTTTTTGACATTTTTACCTTGAAATATATATTAATTGCAGTACTTTTAGTTATAGGGATGCATATTTCTACACTCCAGCCTGCTCCTTTAACTTGAGTAACAGATTTCAGCACTTCCTCCACCAGTGAATAAATGTAGTGGAGTAAAAAGTACAATGTTTCCTACTGAAATGTGGGTGAGTAGAAATGTTACATAACTTAAAATGGAAGCACTCATGTAGCATACAAGTTGAACTCAAGATTACACGCTACTCCGTGCACTTAAATACATTCTTTCACTAGGAGATACTACAAATATTCGTCTTTGAGATTGTTTCAGATTTAAGAAAAAAGAATAATGCCTGGAGAGTTTGCATGACAGCTCTCTAAATATTCACACAATGGGTTCAGTGTGATGGATTCTGCAACTCTGGCTCAGTTTCTGGATTCGTCCGGGTCGTGGTGTGAAAATACTTTTAATGCTCTGCGTCTTGTTGACGTCACACTGATGTGTGTGATACTGTATGCTATCTTTTCTAATCACTCCCTGCAGTAGCCCTGACTAAGCCGGTTTTTAAAACACCCACCATCCTGGACCGGAGCCAGCTGGGTTTCCTTCAAACTCCGTGGTACAGTATCATCATGGCTGTTGGCTCCCTGGCAGCAGATATGACATTGACACCGCAGTTAGAGGCTACAGTCCACCACCAACAGAGCTGTTTGACACTGGATACCCAGAGATGTCTTGTTTGTACTGCTCAACACTGAGTGTGTATGCTTTTAGTTTTCTGCTTAGAGCAAACAATCCAGTGCACATTTAAAAGTCAGCAAACAGTAAAGTGTGTATTTACCATCCAGCCTATATAGTGATGTGTAAACCTTCCAGCCTGCACAGCACTAGATTGAAGCCACTGTGAAGCCACAGGCATCCTTCAGTGTGCCATCCACAGATTTGTGGTTCCATTGAGCTGCGGATGAATTATTAATCAGTCTTTCACTAACAAAATGGGCTTTTAATTGTAGAGACCACTGTTCGACAATGACAGCTGAAACACAAGCCTTGATACAAACTGGCTATTGATCATCCCCCACGGACTCATCTGCAGCTTTACAGTAGAAGAGAGCTTGTTTCTGTCCACACAAAAAATTTAGCAGGCAGTTCCTGCTCCCTCCAGAGGACAGGGCCCCTTAGAAATATGTCTTTCACATACTCGATAATAAAAACTGCAATATTTTAGGAGCGAGAATGATGAAACTTGAGGATAGCCTGAGTTTTTGCTGCTAGTATGGGGTTTTATTTCTACTCATTAAAGATCAAGCGAAGAAAAGAAGAAGCAATGCCACCATATATATATATATATA